AATCTTACGTATATAAATCTCATATATCTAAATATGGCTATAAATGTGATGTGAGATATAGCTTGGTTATTCAAAGCATTCTAAGTAAGTGGCATAGTGCCATCTTTTGTTTCGCTTCTTTGTTTCTGAGCAAAACCAGGAATCAACAGAGCTATTCAGTGTGTCTCAATACAATAGGAATCAGGTTACCAGAGCAACTAACATTAGAAAAAAATCAATACAGAAGATAATAGGTTCCTTACTACTTCTGCACCTTTCATTCTTCTGCAAAACAGTACTATTTAATTTTATCTGGAAAGAGTGTTTTCTTGAAATAAGATTATATTGTGATGGCTTAGCATCATAAAGAATGGATTGAGCCAGAATAAAATGTTTCTTATAAGCACCATTTTTGCAGTTATCATGTTGCTACCTTCATATGAGTAAATTCTTGTGCAATTTGATCTCAATAACAATAGAAACCATAAAAAAGATTTGGACAACCATACTTAAGGGTGTGCCATCAGTTCTGTGATTGTAACTCTTGAGTCAACTTTGTAATAACTTTGTACTGCAACTTTGTACTGCAGAGAGCTGTTTTCCAGTTGTATAGTTGAAAGGAATTTTATAAAATGTATTTTATGCAGGGAGTGTTGAAGCTGGCATTGGAGAAAGTTTCTGGATCACTGGAAGAAGTTAAAGTCCTGGAAGATCATTGATCTTTATATTTCTGTTGACTGCAGTAAACTGAGTACCAGTGGGAACAAGGAGCAAGAAGATTGACTCATCTTTTTTTTTACAGAAGTGTACCACGGTGGCACTTTTGTCTACATTCCTGTATGAATTAGGGCACATGGACAATTGCTATGACAGGAAAGCAGAAAAACAGAAAACAGAGGTTCTTTCATACCCAATGACTTGGGCTGTTTTGCTTTTGGGGCAGGAGCAAGAATGTGAATCTTGCATTAAAAATAAATTTCCAGGGTTGAACAACCGGAAATATTGTTATCAATTAAAATGACGTTTAAATAAAAAGGTCTTCACCTGGCCGAAAAACAAATAACGACGGTGCCAGGTGGACCTCTCTGGGGAGCGCATTCCATAGATTGGGCGCCACCGCAGAGAAAGCCCTCCTCCGAGTACCTACCCTCCTAATTTCTTTCACGGAGGGTTCCCGGAGAAGGGCCTCTCCCGCAGATCTCAAGGGGCGGTTGGGCATATATGGATGTAAGCGCTCCTTCAGGTAACCAGGACCCAAGCTGTTTAGGGCTTTATAGGTCATAACCAACATCTTGAATTGGGCCCGGACTTCAATGGGAAGCCAGTGAAGCTGACGGAGGACTGGAGTCATGTGAACATAACGCCCCGTCCCTGTCAGCAACCTGGCAGCTCTATTTTGAACCAGTTGAAGTATCCGGACCGTCTTCAAGGGAAGCCCCACGTAAAGTGCGTTACAGAAGTCAAGGCGGGAAGTCACCAGCGCGTGTGTCACCGTCGCCAGGCAGTCGTACTCCAGGTAGGGGCGCAGCTGATAAATCAGCCGAAGCTGAAGGAAGGCACTCCTCGCCACCGCTGTCACCTGAGCTTCCAAAGAAAGCTCCGGGTCGAGGAGTACTCCTAAGCTGCGGACCTTGTCCCCAAGAGGGAGTGCAACCCCATTCAGGACCAGGTCAAATCCACCCTCTCCAAAGCCCGATCCGCCAATCAACAGGACCTCCGTCTTGTCTGGATTGAGCTTCAGTTTATTGGCTCTCATCCAGCCCATTACCTCGGCCAAGCACCGGTTCAGCACAGCCACTGCCTCACCTGGATTAGTGGAAAATGAGAGGTAGAGCTGGGTATCATCAGCGTACTGATGATTCCGCAGCCCACACCTCCTGATGACCTTTCCCAGTGGTTTCATATAGATGTTAAACAGCAAAGGGGACAAAATGGAGCCCTGTGGTACTCCATGGGATAGCTGCCATGTCGCAGAGCCATAGTCCCCCAGCACTACCTTCTGGAATCAGCCGTTGAGATAGGAGTGGAACCACTGCAAAGCAGTGCCTCCGACCCCCAATCCCGCTAGCCTATCCAGAAGGATACCATGGTCGATGGTATCGAAAGCCGCCGAGAGGTCCAGAAGAACCAACAGGGATGCACTCCCCCTGTCCTTCTCCCTGCACAGGTCATCGTACAGGGCGACCAAGGCAGATTCAGTACCGTACCCGGGTCTGAAGCCGGACTGAAATGGGTCCAGATAATCAGTTTCATCCAAGAGTGCTTGGAGTTGTCCCGCCACCACCTGCCCTAACACCTTGCCTAGAAACGGGATGTTGGCCACAGGTCTATAGTTAGTGGCCATCCCTGGATCCAGTGACGCTTTCTTCAGGACCGGTTGGACTACCGCCTCCTTTAAAGGGGCAGGCACCCGACCCTCCCTCAGAGAAGCGTTAACCACTTCCAAGATCCAGGTCCCAATCCCGTGCTTGGAATTATTTATTAACCAAGACGGGCAAGGGTCCAATAGGCAAGTGGTGGGACGTACTCGTCCAAGCACCTTGTCCACATCATCGGGCCGCAATAACTGAAATTCATCCAATAATTCTGGACCAGACGGCAGCATTGGCGTCTCCCCAGAAACCTCTGATTCATTAGTCAGTGTTTGTGCCTTTTATATGATTTATGAAATCTTCCAAGCAGTTTTAAAGCAGAAGCTAGTAAGTCTTACATTTCTGCCTTACCATGCAAATATGTTATGCTATTTTTCTTTTGTTATTTCAGAGCAAATACCAAGTAGATAAACAAAGGAAAACATGTAATAGTATGTTGATTATTAAATACAGATAATAACAAAAATAATTATAAACATAATCAAACTTACACTAGTTAAATTGCCCCAACAACCTCTAAATAAAGTTGTATTGAATCATCATTATCCTCTATCATTATACTATAAAGAGACTCAGTTTTTATATAAAGCATTATTTCTGATCACCCCCCTCTGTAATTGTAGTAGTTAATTTTATCACTGATACTGTGTCCAAAACCCTTATACACATAGCTATTTCCATATCAATTGGGACCATATCTTTAACATATCTAAACAAGAATAGCAGTGGGCCTAAGGAGAGCTCAAAGCCTACAGTCTTCATAATTTCACCCTCCAAAAGTGTGCTATTTGGGGTATATAATTCTTCCAGTGGAATTATATCGCCTATTAACAAGCTAAATTTCAACCCAGTTTAGACCATTTATCATTAACAATCTCTTTATTGTTACTGGTTTGCCTGAATAATCTGCTTCATATGACAACTCATTGTGGGTGGGTAAGGTATGTTACAACTTTGAAACTGAGGCTACTTCCTGCAGTCCTCCTCTTCTAGTGTGTTTTTCTTTGTAGCTCTCCCCCTTGTGCTCTTCAATTGACAACTTGGCAGTTGGACCCTCTCAATTGTGAGCAAATTAGCGTATTCTCAGTCTTGCATTGCCATTTTCATTGTCTATTCCCTACTCCACTTAGCTGCTTCTCTTTCGCAGCTAAGAACAGTCAAGAAATTGACCAAGTTGTTGGTCAATAGTTGTTTAGTTGTTAGACTATAGTTGTTTAGTTGTTAGACTAAAGTTGTTAGTCTTTCTTTAGTCTTTCTGAACTATAGCTATAGGAGTGAGCGATAAGGGTAGGGGGAAAAGCCATGGTAAGCATGTTCTCTATTGGATGCACCTTGGGGTTTTTTTTAGCAAACAGCTAATGCACTGGAATGTATTTATAGGATGGTTTAGTGCAAAGTGCAAATTTGCCCAATGCGTGAATGGCTGTATGTAATGCAGCCTACTTCTGTGTTAGTTTATGCTGCATCTTCTTTGTTTGATTCCAGTTCTTTATGTCTTTTTCTTTCTCCTGGAATTAGACAATAATTTAGGTTAAAATATTTGTTCTGCCGTGTGTGGAGAAGATACGTTACTTGGTGATAAAAGGATCGCTTGATTTGTATTGTGATTTGCACAGTGTTGCAAATATTGCAGGTTTAGCCATCGACGTTAGCTTGACTTTAACTATTAATTCTTCTTGTTCAATGGTTTTATTTATTTATTTATTTATTAAAACATTTTTATGCCGCCCCATTCGCCGAAGCCTCGGGGCGGCTTACAACAATAAATTAATATAAACATTAAAAATCCAAAAAATACAATATAAAATAAGCCACCCTGGCCAGATAAAATCAGTTAATACTGGTTCATCTAAGCACATCTCTTAACAACAATTACGTAGTTTCTTTCATAAATAGTACTGCTTTGTTAACTCAACTAATTACTAATAAGTGATCTGTCTAAAATCGGCCATGCTGAAATTCTTGTTTCCCCAGAAGTGGTTTATTGATGACTTACTTGCTCTGTGCTATGATAAAGTCTGAATGTTCTCTAGAGGAGAGTTTATATATTTCATGATGGCTGCCAAATACAGTAATGGGTTTGCCAACTTTGCAAAATTCTTTGTAAATTAAACCTTCACATGGAAAGGAAATACTCACTGTGGTGTTATTTTATGTCTGTAGAGATTTTCCTTTTTAGTTAAAGTTAGTAGGGAAGTGAACACACAGAAGACAACTTATGAGGGTTTGCTCAGTTTCTCATATTAAGTGGAATTTTCATATAAGTATACAATTCACTGTGCCATAATAAACACAAGTACTCTACACACTTAACCCAAGAGTAAGTCCCATTGAAGTAGGATTGTGAGTAGGTACGTGTAGAATTGCCTTCTTAATCTCAACCTAGATATTGGCTCTAGTGTCTGTATAATGAATCCTTCCAAGTGGCAATGATTTATATCTGAATGGATCTAAGAATATCTATTACATTTAAATCCCCATGTTATCTAATGACAACATTCCTTTCCAGATAAAATAATTAAATAAGAAATATTTATCCAAACTGATATGCCTCTCAGTATGCACTGCTAATTAAAAATGACTTGATTTTAAATTGTTTTTCTTACACTAAAGTCCTACTTTATCTGTGTGTCCCATTTCCCTGCATAGCTACTGACCTCCTTCTGGCTTGGAATCCAATTTGTCTGGGCTTAATCGAAGGACTTATTGGAAAAGTTCAACTTCATACAGGTATGAATAATAATTTTATCTTGTCAAGGAAGTAAGCTAGCATTAACACTGCTATGGTAAATGTTCAAGTAACCTCCACTGTCAAGTATTTACTATCTCTGATTGATAGGACTGAAGTGGGCCTTTTTGGTGCCTCTATCATACTGATTGATGCAGCACTTTAGTTTGCCAGACTAATAAATGTCAGTATCTGAATTGGAACATAAAATAAATGGCTCTGCTTATGTATATGGTGTTATATATGGTTGTTTATGTATATCTGATAAATTGACCTTAGGAAAGGGTGATGGGTGGGGAGGGGGAAGGGGAACAGCATTTCTATGTAAATAGAATTTGATGAAGATATAGAGAGGTCATAGTTGAGATGTTCAAGCTTACCCATCAGCATTATTCTCAAATATTAATGATATTTCTTGTAACTACAGAATTAATTTTGGATTATAAATAAAGGTACTGGAAGGAATGCTGCAAAAGGGGATTAAAAAAATCTCTGAATTTGCAGCTTTTTGGAGCTTTTACTAACATTTTTAGTAACATTCTTCAAAGCTTGCCTTATAACTAATTTCCTAAATACCATCTGCTTTGTGTTGAATAGGAAAAGTTAGACAAGCTTGTTTCTATTAATGGAATAATACTGGAAACCCTGCCAAAGAAACAGCTCACACACATTAAATATTTCAGCATGCTTCAGATTCCTGTCGACATTTTTGTGGCTTTGTCTAACTGACTTTTAAATAATAACTATTGTTACCTAGCAGTATTTCTTTGTGAATGGAACTTTCATATTTAGAAATTGATAAAAACTAATAGTTGTCACAATGCTCTAAGCATTGGGTGTTTATATTAAATTAAGAAGTCTGCTACACATCTGATTTTAATTTATGCTTGAACAAATCCTTTGGTAGAGATAGGGCATCCATGAGGGTTGCACTAAATCTCTCCCACAAAATGTCAATTCTCTACATGAGTGAAGCTTTTTATTAGTGGAGGAAATATGATCTTGCTGACCTGCAGTGCTAGACAAGAACACTATCTAATTCTGTGCAGGGTGTAGCATGGCTCCAACGGCACAAATAATCTAGTAGTTTCAGATAAGATTCCTTCTAACCATTTATATTCAGTCTTATGCAGTGCAGCTGGCGAGCCTTGAAGTCCTCCAAGGGCATCTCAAGAAGTCAGTCTTTTTCCTTTCCACTGAAATCACTGTATCTTGTATACTTGTTGAAATCACAGGCAATGTCTTTTCAATGTTTTATCCCATTGAAGAAAAGGAGAATAACATCTCAACTTTAGAGGTTTATGATACTCTTCACTGAAGGAAAAGTGCATGATATAAACCTGTTTATTTAAATAGCTAAGGAAGCATTAAAAATAGGAAATTGACGGTGTAACTGATTGACGGTTACACTGCTATGAGACTGCATAAGAAATATCACAAGTATTAGTGAACTGGTTTGAAGGGACAGGATTCCACAATTCCACTTGGTTACTTATTGCAGCATGTCCCTCAAACAACTAGCAAGCACCCCATGCTTCCATCAAAATCCCCATAAATGAGAGAGAAGCTAAACTTTTTGTTTTGACTTTTGGTTATCTCTAAGTACCAATGGTGACGGATGACATTTCTTGCTTAGATTTGTTTGTGATGTGTGCAAATGTGGATTTTTTCATGTCTTCATGGTAGTTAAGGGAAAACTAAATAGTAATACATGGGATCTTTCTCTGCTTTGGAGACTGTGGTTAAGGTGAACCCTTAATTTTGTGATCACTGCAGGTAAGGACTTTGCTGCTGGGATTAAGCTCTTTCTTAGCTCTGAGAAACTACAGCTACTGGTTGATCATCTGCTTTTTCCTAGTAAAAATGTAGTATCTGATTAACATTTTATAAGCAGGCTCAGCTTGATGTGTACAAGTTAACAAGAACACTGCATGACTGCTCTCTTGAAAGCTGGCTTGTATTGATTCTTTGTGGAAATGAGCTAGAAACATTGTTTTATTTCCTTGTCTTACGGAGCTCTCTGATAATTTCGAGTTAGACATGTTGCAGAGCTTTGGTAGAATGCTTGATTCATTGAGAGCACACACCTTGAATAAATAAAAAAGGCCTCTTAACAGCTTGGAACTATAGGAAGAAAATCTAGTTTCAAAGCTCTGAACATATTTTAAAGGCTTTCATATTTGCCCATTCTTATTTATTATATCTCTATGCTGCCTAGTAACTGAAGATCTCTCAGCAGTTCACAAAAAAAAACCCTATAGCATAAAATACACTATAAAATGTATAAGTTAATCTACAGATAAGTAGAAGTAAAAGCCAGAATAAAACCTAGCAGCAATGGAAAGACTTAAATACAGTAAGGGATTTAAAGCAGAACCAAAAGGCAAAAGTTCTTGGGAAAGTAGCATTTATTACATTTGTATGTTGTCCTATAGCCCATAGGCTAACTTGTGTTTAGTCAGATTTGGCATGAGTATTCTTCCATCTACTAGCAGTCTTGCTTTTTCCTTCATTACCACTAGTTCAGGTGTATACTAAGCATCTAGCTGTGCTACGCTGTGCACTTGGATATGATCATACTTACTGCCTCAGTCAGCTCTTAACATGACTGGGACATTGCTGGTGAAATCCCCCAAGGACCTCTTATTCCCTTGGAATTGATGAATTTGATGGTGCGCCATCCTTGCAGAGGAGGAAGGCTGCTGAGAGTCTAAATCGTAATAAGAAGCAATCTGACCATGGCAGTGGGATGGATGTTAATTCCCTCACTTTCAGATCCTCCCTCTCCTGCTCAGCTGAGCAAACCAAATCAATAATGTGTTTTCTTGGCATGTGTTAAGTAATGACTTTTTGAGATAGCTCTATGGTTGTTGTGCTGGTCATGAATTTCCAAGCCACCTTGAATTTGGCAACTTCAACATGGAAGTTGAAATCCCTCAGAATATTCTAGGGGTCTACAGCACAAAATCTCAGACTGCCTCTGTCAGTTCAGGCAGGAAGTCTGAAGGGTACCAAGGCAGGCATTATACCAGCATCATCCCTCATCTTGCATTGGTTGCCCAGTGCAAGGTACAAACACTCAAGATCAGCACTTGAATTAGACAGGAAGCATATAGAATTCCTACAGACCAGTGGAATTCCCTGCCCTAACTCTCAAGTTGATGTGAGTGCTGCACTGATTATCCAGAAGCACACAGCTGGGAAAGACAACCCCTCCTCATTCCATCACTACATTCCATTGGAATTGATTGACTTCATTGGAATTGATTAGAAATATAGCAACATAGTGAGTCAGAAGGGATCTCCTGGGTTATCTAGTCTGACCCCCAGCTCCACTCATGTAATACCGAACAAGCTGGATATTGCATTAACTTGACAAGCTGGCTGTGTCATCCAGAATTAAACCATGGATGAGGAAGATTTTGTTTTGGACTGACCCCCCCCCATTCCAACATACTCAAGGGAAAGCTGGTAAGGCAGCCAGGAAGAACTGGAATTGGGGATAGACATAACTGGATTACCTCTCACTTCCCAAAGTATTCAATGTGTTTTCCAGGCATATATTAAAATGTTGATATAAAATAACTGCATAGGTTGCAGAACATATGTAGCTATTGTTGCCTGCAGAGATTCTGCAGGCAACAAATTGGGAAACAAAATTATAAATCATATTGTTTTAAAACTTTGTGCTTCCTAAAAATTCCTATGAATATGCACTTCTGAAATGATTGACCAGGACACAAATAAAGACTGAAATGCCCCTTGATATAACAGAATAATTTAATATGATTAGTATCTTTTGAGAGTTCCCATATAAAAACTCTACTACATTTGATTACAAATTGGTTGTGCTTGAACTAAAAAAGCTGCCCATGAGAGGGGAAAGGAAAGCATGCAGTTCTGAGATGACAAGTATCTTTTTAGAATTGTGCAGGAAAGCAGGATCCCTCCTGAGATTTTGAAGAAGTGTTAATTTTTATATGGCTTAAAAAGGGCATTTGCTAGAACACTAGTGGGCAACCTGTAGCCTTCTGAATGCTGTCAGACTTCAACTCCCACGATTTCTGAAGTTTAGCCATGCTTTTTTGGGGCTGGTGACAGCTGGAGTCAAACAGCATCTGGAGGGCTACAGTCTCCCCAGTCCTCCACTAGAAGCTCCATTTTATCTTTATTTTTGTACAGTATTTCTTCAGTGTTTATTTGTTTATCAGGCATGTTATGTTTTGCATAACTATTGTAATCTGGTAAAGCACTTTTAGAGTACCATAAAATCCGTAGCCTACTGCTTCGGACCTTCATTACACATGTTGAAGTCTGTGGAGCAGACCCTGCAGTGGCATTCATGTTGCTCTGGTTCCCAGTGCCGAGCTTTCATTGAAAGTCTGGAGACAAATGCCTCATAGGGGCTATGCTGTGCTCCACTTGTGCAGCTAATACAAATCATGTTGAGCCGGTATTAGGGAAGCTGAGGTTTCCCATTTTGGGTTTTGGAAGCATACCTGTGGTGTTTTAGAAGCTATCAGTAAATTGTAAAACCCATTTGTCAGTAGTACCTTTAAGCAATATCTATAACCAACGTCTGTTAGTACTTGGCTCATCTCACTCGGTATGGGAGCTGCGTTGTAAGGCTTAGTGGTGTGCCCCTGTCACTGAAAAGCAGGAGTTTACTTTGGAAGTTACTGAAAATAAAAGAAATATTCTGTGCATTGTATTTATTATAGAATTGGCACTAAAACATATTGAGTAGGAATATAACTCTAAATGCTGTATTATTTGCTTCTGTATGTTTAAGTCTGGTTGATTATGTTCTTCATAGTAAAAATGTGAAGTAAATAAAACTCAGTGTGGGCTGAGTTCTAAAATGTCCAGCTTTAATTTCATTAAAAATCCATGCTACTTAAAATGTAATTTGAGATTTTAAGGTGATGAAAGAGAGAAAGGAGAATAAGGCTAGGCTTTCTCTTTATAGTGTTATGTTTGAATTGCATTGCAAAGAAGGATG